TAGCCCAGCAATTTTGGGGTTTGTGTTTGAGAGGCGACAAGAACTGTTACATACATCTTCACGCAAACTGAGAAATGCCAAAAGGTTACAGAATTTGGAAACACTGGCTAAGTGAACAAAGAAACATTGGAAATGCAGCCAAGGCTCCCAAAGGTTATATTCTGGGCTCATCGGAAGGAAACGCAGCTAGTAAGTTGGAAACCCACAATCCTGAAGCCCAGGCTTTCCTGAGATAAGGTTCCAAAACAAAAGTTCTGCAAACGTCTCAGTGAACTCGTGCCAAAACCCAGCGAAAGGATTTAGAGCGGCTGTGTATCAGAGGCAAGTTTCTTGGGCAGAAGAAAATATAGAAGGCAGAATGGAAACCCAACCCAGACAAAAGTTGCAGGGCATCTATTCATTTTAAAGGCATATATTGACAAAAGGCAGTTGTCAACAGCTGTCTTTTACCTGTACTTACTGGAGTTGCAAAGAGAGGAAAGAAGGAGAAGCGAGATGATGAAGGAAAGAAGAGGAATTAAATCAGGCTCACCAATTGTAAAGCTATAGCCATCGATGCTGAAAGTAGCACTCCGGCATTTTTTAAATCCTTCCTTTCTGCTGCTTGGCTCTGTCATGATCCTGCCAGCTTGTACTTTCAGCCGCAGCCTTTCTCTCCCCCCGTGGAAGCAAAGCGCTTGAGCTCGCTCTTAGCTGCCCTTGAATATCTGCCTGTGACAGCACGCACACCCAACCTCACACATCTCCTGGCGCGGGGAGCCGAATCCGAGAGGCACGCACCCAGCAGCTTTCTCCTCCCCCAAACACTCTCGCTGGCATGTTACCGACGTGCCTACTCAGAGTTTAACAACTGGTTAGAGGCTCCGCTATCTAAACCGGCAGTCAATTAGTGCAAGACTACTGAGTCTATAAGCCGGCTGTATCTGTCAAATCTCTGTGTAGGAGTCAGCACACAATTAAAAAAAGATGAAGGGTTAGATTTTGCTGTGATCTACCCACTGACACTGCTTGTGTTCCCTGCTACGCTGCAGCCCCTGCTTCTGTGGCTCCCCATGCACGCGGGATTTCTCACTTGCAGCAAATTGTGCTCAGGTTTCAGCCCTTCAGACACAAGCAGCGTGTTTTAATCATTCGAGATATAATGAATCAAGCCAAGATTGCGGAGCACCATCAGTCAGCTACTACTTACACTAACGGCAACTCTCTAGAAACACAACTGGCAGCAGAATGCAAGAGATTATCAGTAAGTAAGAACATAAGTGACTGTGGGAAAACAACAAAAGTAATTTCCCAGTAATGATGATAAACTGAGCAAAATGTACACGCACACACACAAAGTCTTCCGAGCTCTTCCTCCTCCTAGTGGCTCATCACATGGTTTGTAAACTCCTCTCTGCATTTTTTTTTACCCAATGATGTTTAAAAATGTGATTCAGAGCGCTTGCAGCAAGCCACTGAAAAAGGCAGGCAAATCATCCCTATCCTACGAACAGATAAAATTTAGAGTCCAGGCTGGCAAAGTTTTCACAGAAGACAAGCAGCGAGCCAAGGTTTTATAAATAGGTACCCAAGAAAACACTGTCAATTATCTTACTGATCCCAGTTTGCATAAATCTGTGCAATCCTTTTCTTTTTCCTGTAATGTGTGCTGATATAGAAACATGCTACTAAAGTGCTCCAATTTTTCAGGTTCCCAAGCATAAAAGCAAATTCCAGGTAAATTCATCAGGTTTTGCATTGTTCCAGATGGAAACCACATGGAAACACTGAGTTTCAGGAAGACTGCCATCAAAACAATAGCTGAGGCACAGCTTGCTAGAAGCTTGGCCAACGCACACCAGAAGTTTACAAAATACCAGCAAACCTGGTCTGTGTTTAAGGTATAAACCTCAACCCTACCTTGGTTTCTCAGCAAAAGCTTAAGTCAGATAGAAACATTGCACTTTTTAAATCCCCTCTCTTCAAAGGATGGAAGAG